CTCCAGATCCTTCAACAGCCGATTGTCCTTCTTTAGACACATCCTAACACCTCAATGTCTTTCCTAAACTGAGGGGCCCAGAACTGGACACAGTGCTCGACGTGTGGCCTAACTAGTGCCAAGTACAAGGGAAGAATCACTTCCCTGGTCCTGATGGCCACACTGTTCCTGATATAGGCCAGGATGCCATTGGCCTTCTTGGCCACTTGGGCACACTGCTGGCTCATGTTCAGCCACTGGCAAACAGTACCCTCAGGTCCCTTTTTACCTGGCCACTGTCCAGGCACTCTGTCCCCAGCCTGTAGTTCTGCAGGGAGTTGTTGTGGCCAAGTGCAGGACCTAGAATAGGTGGGCCCCCTTTTAAAGCCACAGGGCAGAAGCGGAAGTGCCACCATTACCGTTTCTCCGGCCTTCGGGAGACGTGGCTGTGTCCAGGACTGCACCTTGTCACGGGAGGTGACAGAGACTGCTGACACCACCACCGCTGCTGCCACAGCAGAGTGAAAGCCCTGCTCGGGACCCCCCGCCTCAGCCGCTGTCAGGGGCAGGAGTCGCTGCTCAACCATCACTAGTCACTGCCACTGTCACTGCCACTGCACTGCCTCTGCTGCTGCCGCCGACCAAGAGAGTGGAGGGGCCGCCCCAGCCGCAGCCACTTCAGGGGTTTCGAAATTCCCCCCCCCGCCCCCCCACAAGCCGCTTTGAGGTGTTTTTTCTTGCTAAGCACTTTTTACCAGCCGCTGTCGTGTATCGGCACCGTTACTATTTAACCTTTGCTGCCCGAGCGAGAGCCTGTAATCTGGTACCGTTCTGCTGTTCTCCTTAGGACAACCGTTTGCCACGTTGTTTTTCTTTGTTTTTTTCCTGACGACGTGGTCTGGGGGGGAGGGAATGGAGAACTTTCTCTGCTGTTTTGTCTTTGTCCTGGGGGGGGGGGGGGCCAGGTAACACTTTTTGCTTTTTTTTTTTTGGTTTAAACTGTTTTCCTCTGTATCTTTGCAGTTATGGCTATTTCCTTTAGTAAATTGTTATTTTTAGTTATATTTCTCCATATTGCCCCTTCATTATTGGAGGAGTCAGGGGGAGGAAAAATCAAAAGGGGAGTGACTTATTTGGAGTTCTAGTTCTCCAGTGGTTGTCCAAAACCACCACAAGGGAACATGACAAGGTTAAATCTCAATAAAACATCCTTTTTGTATAAATTCTTTCTGTGTTTTGGATGTAATATGAGAATAATGTGGGTAACACACTGGTGTTTTAGTTATTGCTCAGTAGTGCTCACCCTAAGTCTGGGACTTTTGAGTTTCTCATGCTCTATCAGCAAGGATGTGCACAAGAAACCAGGAGGGAGCATGGCCAGGACATAATTTTCGTATCGACTAGACATCTATCATTTGTTCACCTGGACTTGTTCTCTAAGGCTCTTTCTGTTACCATGCCTTTGTTTCTTAATTCCCAAAATATAAGTACTAAAACAAAGGCCAGAGACTGTGTTCCTTTCCCACAATCAGAAAATTGAACTTGAAAGAGGAGTTTCAAAGACAAAAATTGTCAACTGCCAGTCACGTGAAATAGTGGCAACACTGCACTGAAAACAGCATGGAGGGGAAAAAAAATCAAACTCAGAAACAAGATCCAGAGATTGTCAAGAAAGCCACTAAACTAATAATACCTTGAAAGAAGGGTCATGGGATGCACTGGGAAAGTGATATAGGCAAGCCAGCCAACTGATGAAGGAGGTACGGACCTGCCAGTGTCTCTCTGTATCCTGGACATAACAGCTGTTCTTACTGAGAGTTGCAGTCTGTGTGACAGAGCATGCAGTTTTCAGTGCTGTCAGTATTAAAGTATTTTTTTGTAGTTTAGAGGAAAAAATGTAACTCAAATCGTATCAAAGATGGGAGAAGTTATTTTAAGACTTGATCATCATATCTAAAGAGAAGCACACCAAGGGACCCAAATATTAGTCATGTCGATGACAAGTGATCATGGTCTGTAGACAGTCCTTACAGTAAAAAATACTGCTTTAACAAGGATTATTTCAAATGGCTGAAAAAAATGTTCTCTCATCAACTCAAAAGAAATGAACAGAAAAGCTAAATGAAAATGTTATGAATTAAACCATTTTTAACCCCAAAATGTGAGCTTCTGATGTTTAATACTGCCGTTTTGTGGAAACAGGGAAGAAGTTCTTAAGGTCATAAATATATGCAGGATAAACAGAGAAACAGGGAATTTGGTAATGGACACTAAGAAAACTAGGAATTATTTGAAACTTAGGTGAGTTAAGAGTCAAAGCATAAAAGGGAAAAAGCTGCAATATGCAGGATTTTTTATTCCCATTCTGCAATGCACTTTATGGTGAGCTCTTTCTTGTCCTAGATTTTATTTGTTTCAATTGATTTTATTTATATTTTTTGTCTTCTTAAAAACTATCTGAAGAACTTCACGTTCCACAAAAACACTGAAACAGAAAGCAAGATCAAATGAAAAATTTGGAATGATAGAAGGTGCCTTTCCTTTTTTTTTTTCTCTTACACCACCTGCTCACAATTAAAACTTTATCTCCTCCAGATCACACAGCAAAGGTAGGCAGGATCTTAGAAGCACCTAGTACATGATTATAGCAAGTAGGATGTCTGAATTTAACTGCTATCCTGCAATGCAACTTTCATAAACAATTGTTAAATCCTCCTGTAGTTCAGTGCTGGTAGAACACCATGGTCCTTTCCTCAGAAGTACCAATGTTTCTGCTTTCAGCACCTAACATCTTTAGTTCTCAGTCAGATTACTGCTGGGAAAGGACACACTAAACCTGGCAAACTGTTCTCAACAGGGTGTACTGAAAGTGGTCAGTTTTGGTTTACATGGGTTGGATTTATATTTGCAATAAATGTGGTCTGTTCATTCGACTTTGCTCTGCATCCTAAAATTGAAGGATGTGATCCACTTTAGGAATACTTTTCTGTGACAAAAGGATGCAAAGGGTATCAGGCTAGAGCAGAATCACATGAATCATATGAAAAACTGCATTGTCTTTTGATGACCATCTTATGTCACCTACTTCATGAAAATCACAAGATACTATTTAAAGCTGAGCAATGTGTTTGTACAATACAGGTCTCCCTACTAAGCAATTTCAACACAGCTCTTGTCAAACCCAGGTCTGGAAAACAAATAAATTTGTTTTAGTCTTAATTTTGTTCTTGATGTTAATGACAGCTATTTCTAGAGATTAATTAAAAAAAAAAAAAACCCAAAAAACGAAAGAAGGAAAAAAAAGGCATAGTCTTGTCATCAACCAGTTGCAACTAGAATAGTAACCTTTAGGATGTGTGATTCTTGGGAAAAGTTATCCTCTGTCTTTTGGGACAAAAAGTTCCTTCTGAGGCTAAGCCCAAAAGAAAAGAGAATGGGAAAAAAACCCAATTCTCCTTAGAATTTCCTTTGCAGTTTCTTTTCATTTGCTCTTTTGGCTTGACACCGATGGAGTAGGCTTTTTGTGCACTATTTATAGTGCATAAATAGAGAGAATGTATTTAATGAAAAATAAAAATAGGTTAGCTTTTCTGACAAAGATGATGTATTAACTTTTGAGAAACACTTTTCCTTAAATTTGGTACTTTAAAAAAAAGTGAAATACTGAAAACTCATGAAAAAAACAACACTGTTCTTAAGTGCTCTTGCAGGGCTGAAAAACCTCTCTTTTGGCTTGAAAGGTTTTTCTTTAATTCAGAATTCTTATTTGGCTTGTTATTTACTCCCTGAATCTGTTTCTTATGTCTCATTCATGGATAATTTATTTTGGTTCCTGCTATTGTGCCAAAAGTATGATACACAAATATTCTCAAATTCGTCTTCAGCACTTTTTGCTGAAACTTGAACATACATAAATCTGTCGCGACATTCATTCTTATGCTTCATTTTATGTTCTCAAGAGTTCTTACACTCTTTTATGTCTTTGTTTTTTCACTTACTGGTTTTGCATTTGTTTTAAAGATTAAATATATATGATCTATATTTCAAGTTTCCACTCCTAATTCTTTGGCCCTGTATATAGTTGTTCAAAAAATGCCAGACTGATATGAAAAGTTTTGGTGGAATAAAACAAAAATTTAAAGCAACAGTATTGACAGAACGTCATGGTCTGTGTTCTACTATTTACTCTGTAGATATATGGGTTTACAACATAAACTGTGCAAAGTTATTTCACTGCTGTTACGTGTGCAAAGAATTTAACTGTACTTTGAATTTTGAAATTTTGCATCTCAATATATGATTGCATGATTTATTTTTGCAAGAATGTACTTAGCATACCTACAATTTTTCCATTGCAAACTATCAATCCCCGAGCTCCACAAATGATTTTTGAATAAATTATGCATGTTAGAGCAGATGACTGTTTCAGGGTATTATATAACTTCAAAAAAAAAAAAATCTAAACAATTCGTACCTTTTCCATTATGTAGTTAAATGCACCTTTTAGTGGAGATATCTGTGTGCTGATACCACAGTCTGGTGGAGGTACAGTCAGTAATGACAAGGACCCTGCATAGCTTTTGGAAATAAAGAACAGCCTGCCATGTTCTGGTTAATTATTTATCTGGAGAGGAGGCAGATGATTAACATTACACATTTGCATTGCATTAATGCAACAACCTCTATCAGTCTGTTCATTTATAAAGTGGAAGGGCATATGTGAAATTAGAGAGCCTTAACTAGAATAGAAACTGTAGCTGTTTGAGGACACCTAATCCATTTGTCTCTGAAAAAAGTCTTCATAGCACTTGTTCAGCCATCAATTTCCTGAATTTAATCCATCCCTGCAGGTAGGATTCCTGCCAACATAATTTCTTTCCCAAAGCCACATCTGGCTTATCCTAGAAAGTAATCTGTTTACTACTCATATGCCAGAACAAAACCCACCAGCCATTTCAACCTCTTACGTCCTCAATGTTTTTTCCATTATCTAGAGGGGAAGCATAACCTTAATCTAAGTAATAAAATCCACTTAAGACATGTTTATTATATAGAATATATACATATTTACATACCAATAAAGTTTCCTGTACATCAGCAAACAACTCCTTAAACATGAAATTTCTGGATTTTACAGAGAGGTGAAAATTCAAGTGAAAACAACTACTGCACTTCTTGAATTATAACCTTGCAAGTGGTTGGTTTGAATTTTACATTTATTGAATTCTTGGTTCTCTAAGACTGTATCAGGTTTGAGAAGGCATAGGCTTTACTAATAAGTATTTAGGTGTTTGTAGGTTGTCAAAACAGATGTGCTATGGATTTCCAAGTGTAAATTAAAAGTTCAGAGAAATCAAAGAAAATAAAACCTGGGGCAAAATACATCAGTTTATGTAAAAAACATAACTCACTAGCAGCATAGCTCCCACTATGCCAGGTAACAAAGGTAGCTTAGAACAATGGAAGAACATAGATACTACGGAATTCATGTGGAACATTAGGAACAGAAGTGTTCAGATCCTAAACCTGAAATTATTGCCCATAGGACCTACACTGCTTTAAGTCTGTGTAACAGTTACTCTAGAAGATTAATTATTTACCCATGTATAACTGAGTGGAATAGTATCACATTCTAAATTACAGCAAATATTAATAAAACAGTAAGTTTGTCAAGGATGCCTGAAAGGCATTCCTGAGGTGGAAAACAAATCAGAGTCACCTGACCCATGAAGAACTATATGACCCTACTTCTTTATGGACACCAAATACTCAAAAGTTATCAGATTTTTTTACATCAAAACAACAAATTATGGGAAAAAAAGGATAAAATAGTTGAATATCAGGCAATTACAAATTTACCAAAGTTGCTTATATAACCACATTTCCATCCTCTAGTGAATTAAACTTGGGACAGAATGTACATAACAATGTCATTCACAGTTACCGACTGTAAGGAACACTCATGGATGCATTGCTAATTATTCATCAGGCTTTTTAATAACTGTTTTATGGAAGTGATTTTAGTCAATGTATTTATTTATTGGGAGAACTGAAAATATATTATTTTTCTAAAAAGTTGTCCTAAAAAGAAAAAGTTACGTGCTATTGCAGCAAACCTCCACCATTAATGAAGTTTGAAACCTGAGTTTGGCAAGGCAAGACATAGCATTCTGTTTGACCTAGTAACTGGAAAAGATCAAACCTGTTGAATATGATCCTGGTTATATAGTTCTTTGCCTCATTTTTAGATAGAGTACAGATGTGACTCAGGGCAGCGCAGACACTTTGGCTGTTGTCTGTTGGAGCCTGGATCGCTTTACTGCAGAAACTGTATAATGGTGGTGGAGTCACCATCCCTAGATGGTTTGAAAAGATGCCTTCCTCCTATTTAAGTGGTCTGAGTTATATCCATAATAACATCTGTGTGAAAATGTGCTGGGAACAGGAATAGCTGCTGCACAGGTTGCAGCCTTAGCAAGATCTTGTGAGGGTCCTTCATCAAGCAGATAAAATAGTTCCATTTGAATTCCTGTGCAAGAAACAAACTGAAAAATTATGGATTATTTCTGTACAGATAAAGAAATACTAACCACAACATCTGTATAAAAAATATTGTCACGCTGATAGTTTTTACAAGTNGAAAAAGATTTAATATTTAGAAAAATTTTAATATCAAACCTGGATTATTTTGAAAATAAAATTTTACTGTATTTATCAGAAATAGATATTATTTATAATTCTCTCAGTTCACTGCTAAGATAATCCTCTGAGCAGTGCCTGTGAATAATTCTTTTAAATAAAAAGATGCTTCTCAAAACTTCTAGTTGCTCTATAATGTGTCTTTTAAGCCATAACATACACTGGATGTTCAGTTAGGATCTGTGAGGGTAACAAGGCTGATGCATTTTTGACTGGGAATAATGGGCAAGTGTACCCATTCTGGAGCAACTCACAAAGGACTGCAGATTTATGGTCTATAACTGTCCCTTTTCATGTGTTTTAGGTGATCTAATAAACAAGGAGAGAAAAGGTCCTTGAGTGACACTAGCTGGGGACAGTCTCTGGGGACAGAGACTCCAAAGTGGTGGATGGAAGCCAGGAGTATTTGCTTAGCATGTGTCTAAATTTGCATTATTTTCAGAGTGAGTTTTATACTTTTAAAACAATTCTTGATTTGTCACTCAGGTTTATTCTGCAGAGTATTGAGATACACTCTCCTTGTTTTGTGACATTGACATTGTCATATATTGTTGCTCACCTTACGCATGCATGAACAATTGCTGCCTGGATGGGGTGACTAGACAATAACAGGGGAATATTCTTTACTTTAAAACTCCTATTATCTCCTACAGGAAATACATATTCCTGAGCTCTCTAGTCCTGTCAGTTATAACTAAGGCATTAAATTAATCATGTTGAATTCAGAAAAAAGCTGCTACCCAAAATCCATCAAGGTAATTGTTCTTCTTTATTCTCTGAGATAGGAATGCTTGGTATCAAATAAACATTTTTTAAATGTTCCACCATAACTTTCTCCTCATCTTCAAGATCGGCATCTTCTTTCATCTCCCATCTGAAAGAAAAATAACTTTTTATTAATTTTTTATGTGTTTTAAACCAGTCTTTAGAATAAGCAAATAAATACAGAATTTGTAACTATCAATTCACTGCCCTCCCTAGCAGTGGGTTACACCAGTTGAAATTATTGAATCATTCAAAATACAACCCCAAAAATCTTCCTACATGCACCTTGTCATGGCCGCGTGGATATTGACACAAATTGTCAAAGCTACCACATAATCTTACTTATATTCATTGAAATAGTGCTCTTTTTTTTTTTCTGTTTTATATCAAACATGCAGGTAGAGGTGGAAGCCTAGTCAAACTAGGAGAGAATAAGTGGAAAAGCTAACATATGCTTTGGAAGTTAAGCAGATGCTCTCAATACTCTCTAAGTTTGCAGTGAAAGGTGACCACGTGATGTCCAACCAAATATTTAATGTGATTGTCATAATTCTCTGGCAGTGATGGTACCACATTACAAAATACCACAAAAGTGACAGGCTCTTTGTTTCTTAAACTATCAGGTACACCTATCACAACCAGAAATAAATGACATCAGATTCTTCTTTCCCCATGTGAATACTCATTTCTAGTTTAGGATTAAGTCCTAATACCATTAAAACTGAAAAAGTGAAAGAATATGAATTTTTTCTTTTTTTTCAGTAATTAAATATAGAACCTTAAAAATAATGCAGTGTTCCCTTGAAGAAAATCAGGATAATAAACTCAGAATTAGTGCTGCTATGTAGTCAGTTGAAGAGGTCAATAACTAACGATCCCAGGTTTGAGGGTGAAAATTGGAATCTTTATTGAACATGTGAAAAGCAATATAAGGGTTTGGGGGCAGGACATGTTAATGAGGAGGATGGGTTATGCTAACTAGGGGATGGATTATGCCAACTAAAAGATTACACAATTTTCTGCTAGTTACACAGTTGGTTAATATTTTCCCTTAGATAGGACCACATGGGGGGAAAAGAACAAAGGGGTTTCCACATGGTCTGATAACATCATCACAAAGTCTTTCCATATCTTGCTGCAGGAGACAGGCCAATCAACATAGTTAAATATCAATAGGTCTTGTGAGGAAGGTCCTCAGAGTAAGGAGTTTCTCCCAGCTCCTGCTGTCCTTGGCCTGCTACATAATCTCATCAGCTCCTTCTCTGCTGATAGCTGAGCTCCAGATCCCAACAGTCAGCTAAACTTTGTAACACTCAAATTATGCCTACACAATGTTCAGTTATGTGGCTCTATCTCTTCTACAAGTTTTGTGGATATTTAAGAATTTGACATCCCTTTAATATTAATCTCTTTCTGTTCTAAGTAGACAATGAAGTGTAGCCTCATGGTTCAGACCAGCTAAAGACAAAAGGTAAAGCATGAATACTAGATACAGAAATCAGATTTTCAAGTATTAAATCCAGTAGGTTATGAATGAGCCATAAGATGCTGCTGAAAAGTAGGAGACAGAGAGAAGCAGCAGAACAAAGACTGCTTTTAGGAAACTAATGTCAGAAGCAATACTTTAATTCTGTCCTCACAATTCTTAGGTCCTCATTCAGACTGCAAAAACCAGAACCTAAACTATACAAGTTTAGATTGGTGAATAAATGAAATATAATACAGAATGGTGGGAAAACGGCATTCCTCATATTTGCAAGAGGAGAACAGTCATTATTGGCAATAGAGCATGGTGTACACTTTTTGTAACTATGTGACCAATACATCTGTTCTTGAACAGGCAGCAGTTATGAGTATTGAGGCCATGTTACTGAGAACACAGCTGTGCTGGGCAGGGCACGTCTCAAGGATGAGACGCCTCCCTAAGATCTTGCTCTATGGTGAACTTGCCACTGGCTGCCGCATGAGAGGAGCCCCGAAGAGAAGATACAAGGACTCCCTGAAACAACATCTCAGCCTTGGCCACATCGATCAACACAACTGGTCTACTCTGGCCTCCAATCGGGAGGCCTGGAGACACACCATCTATAACGCAGCTGTCTCCTTTCAGAAAGCACGCAGGATCACTCTCGAGGAGAAAAGACAATACAGAAAGAATCATGTCTTGCAGAATACACCACCTAAGGAGTCTTTCTGTTGTGCCTTTTGCAATCGGACATGTCTATCTCATATTGGCCTTATTAGTCACCAGCATGCTTGTGACAAATGTGGATAGAGCCTTCCCAAATCTTCGTTCGCGAAGCCTAGCCATGATGAAAAGCTTACTAAAGCAAGAAAGAGAACAAGTGCTCTGTAGTACAATCTCATTGTTAAAAAACAGCTGGGAAAAAATATGTTCAATGAACATGTATAAATTAACATATATACATCACACCTTTACCTTAAAAATTAAATCTGACAACCCATATTACTGCCTGAAGTGAAGAAGTATCAGAACAAGCAAAGCATACTATGAATAAAATTGAAGCAATGAATGCTTCAATTATTGCAAAGTTTTGCAATAATCGTATTTAACCTTATGTGAATATTAACATTACGTACATATTAACATTACGTGCTATGTCTGTCTGCTTCATTCTCCAGTTTATGATATATTTATAGAATGAACAAGCCTTCAGTTCAGTTACTTTTGCAAGCATCCCCAGTGAATGCTGTTTAAAAGGGTGACTAGTTTACTTTTCTACTTTTGCTAATGTACCTCGTCGTCAAACCTAGGAAGAAGTTCTGCAAGCCTTAATTTGAATTTGTGGTCATCAGAGTCATTCAGAAACACCACTATACCAATAAAATTGATTAATTTTAATTTATTTGATTTGTTGCATAGTTTTTAGTAGAGGAGCTATTTGCTTAAAAGGACAATGTCTGAAAATGCTAGATAGAAAAAATTCTAAACAGTTAATGCTGGAGATACAACACAGAAATCTAGAAGTTTTGGCTAATGGAAGCTTAACAGTAAATCAGCAGATTACTTTTAAAGATAGTGACTTCATACTTGTCAGCACATTTAATTGAACCTTAAACATCAGTGTTGGTAAAAATTTTCAGTGTCATCCAGTTTGGCCTTTCTTTAGTGTTAACTTTATAGCATGTTATTCTAATACATTACATTATCATTTTGTCCAAAAGTAGTCTATTTTTAAAGCATTTAAGCGGGTCCAATGAGGATAGGCTGTTATGCATTTGCTTAACAGTATCCATGAATTAAAGAACTGTGAAATCAGCTTGACAAACACCTGGTCCCTCATCTAATTTAGAAAATTTTTCTTCACTTTCATGCTTAAAGTCTGGGGACAATATAGTTTTTTAAAAGACTACTGGACAGTAAGGAAGAAGGCCACAACACATCCTTATTATTCCAAACGGGATGAGAAATTAACTGTTAGTTTTGTGTTTAAGTGGAAAAAGCCAGCATTTACTAGTCAAAAATTTCCAAAATAGATGTTTTTACTAGCATATCAAAAATGTGTCACAATTGTTTTGGCAATAGTAATTGGCATAAATCCAACTAGCCAGTTCAAGTAATGTGAATATGAATAAAATTACCATCATGAATTACTTTCAAAATGCCAGATTCATCAGTTTAACAGCCAACTTCTGTCGTTTCAAATCATTAGCTCATTTCAAACATAGCTCTTAGAAAAAATTCCCAAATTCATAGGTAACATATGTTTTATTTCAGTCTGGCTATATCTTGGAACATCAAATAAAATCAGCATTTCAAAAGGATACTGGAGATATTTGAACGAATCCATCATATCACCACCTCCCTTTTGCTTAGATTTCATATAAACATAAAGAGATGAGTTCAAGTGTCCAGAAAGCCCAACTTTCAGTATGTTCTTCATATTTTAAAGAAAGCATATGTTAAGAAGAAAATGCCATCAGCTTTGTAATCTTTAGGGTAGCACCAAAAGCTTTCAAGCCAATAATACTTGTGTACTTAGGAGAATTAAAAATTTTAAATGTTTTCAAAATATGCTGAAATATGAAATAATGCAGATGACACACTGTATGCACCTGATGTGAATCACTGAAACACTTTGCTGTTCTTTTCTGTGTTGCATGTGGCTAATCAAGGGGGGACGGAGAGGGAAGTAGTATATTTTTTTCAGACAGATACAGCAAAACACATCAGCACAGATAAATACAGGAATTTCTGAAGTTTTCTGCTGGTCAGCTTAGACCTTAGACTATGAGGTCAAAGAGTATGACTAGCACGGGGAGGGCTTTTGTTTCTCCTGATAAATAAGAAGCAAGAGGAAGAAGTCTTGACTGGCACATTTATAACCTAACAAAAAAAGTGCAAGGGGTAACTGCTCAGTAACCCAGGAAGATCCAGTGATACCAGCTCAGGTTTATTTAGCGATGTATCCATGTGCTATCCTTGCATATAAATAGCATCAATGTATCTATTTATATAAATGGCTACCCAGGACTATATTTTGTGATACTTTTGTTTCTCCACTTACTAAATGATAGGAAGTAAAGAAACAGTAAATACGTTTGCAGAGATGCAGAGGAAAATCTTCTGTGCCCCTGTTAGGCATGCTGGACATTGCAGTAGGGCTGGACACATGGTGATACATTTGCTGCTTTGATTTTCTGTTGCAATATTGCATATATTTTGTAAATTGTAGATATATTCCTATGAAGGCACTTTCTAAAAACCATAACAGGGACTATATATTACATTTAGGCGCTTGTTACAGATCAAGATTATGTACATGCAGTTGATACCAAAGCAGTAGTATATGAAATCAGAAATAAAACATATGAAGAAGTATGCAACAGGGATTACCAAAGGTGACAGAGATTTTACCCACAGTAAATTGCAACATTTGAAGAAGTTGTGCTATGAATTTTACATTAATAAATACTCTTTGATTAGTTCCGAGGTTTGTTTATAGCAGTTGATTAGTTATAACAAGTGTGTAAATATTAGAGGGAAAATATGTAAAATGTTAAAAACAAGAATAAACATGAACAAAATTTAAATGAAACATAAGAATACTTTTCAGCAGAGATGTATTTTCAACTTTGAAAAATGTC